TCAGCTCTCTTTTGGAGCACAGTTAAACATCTTTTAGTTAAATATTCTAATGGCTTCTGCAACTTGCAGCACTAATTCAAAGACTAGTATTATTCAATAATATATTTTTAGTAGTTGTATTATTAGTCGTTGTTAGTATTGTAAATAATTAAAAGAGTAAAAGACATTTTTAGTCCTAGACTTATAGTGGCACGGACAATTTTAGTTCTTCATAAAAAATTTAGACAATTTATGGACACACTTATTGTGACAAAGACAATTTTGGTCCCCCGTCTACATTTCCATTAGATGGCTGTTTGAGAAGAGGGTATTTGCGTCATTTCATTATATCTCCCTCTCTTTATTCCATATTTGCGTTATTCTGGTCAGATTGCTTTCTTCTTCAGCTCCTCACTTACTGTCACATTCAATCCATTGCTCTCGGCCTTCTCGATGGCCATCTCGGTTTGTGCTCTAGTGAATTTCCCGATTGGAGTTTGGGCTTCGCTGCAATTCAAGTGGATTCAGATAGAAGGTAAGGAATGCCCGCCGACGCCGACGGTGAGGCAGACCCCGCCAGGAAACCCGTGAACGGGGCTCTTCTTCGCAATCTGTCGCCATATCCACGCCGATAGACCGGAGATTGAACATAAAGCTAGAATGATAAAGCCAAGAAAAACACAATTAAGATAAGCTACAGAACATAAAATGCATACCAGTACATGCAGGAAATCCTATTACAATAGCTCCAGCTGCACTCACGATAACACCCACAACAATGAATGCTAATGAAGAAAAAGCATCAGATATCATCCCAAGAGCATAAGCAGCTGCTGCTGCTGCCCCTCCAAGCATTGAAATGGTAACAAGCAAGTAATTTAATGGTGGTGGCACCTGAATGTATCTCCCAAATGAATGGAAAACAACTCTTGCCTCCGGGCAAATTACAACAACAACCAAAGCAATAGAACCATTCACCGTGTGAATGCTCTGCAACTAGTGGTCATTCTTAGTGACCCACCACAGAGCCCCTCTAGTGGAGGCATACAATTGAAATAAAAAAGGGATGAAGAAAAGAAGAAACAAATCACAAACATCAGCACTGGAGGATGTTGAATAAAGTCTTGTTAAGAATATTATTGGCAAAAGGATAATTGAAGATAAAGTTCAATGATCTCCTAGTCAAACTACAAGTATCATTCAAATCCTAATCTAATTAGGATTCATACTTCAACCAGGATTATGATCAAGAGAACACCTATTTAAAAAGACTCTTAGAAGAAGACCAACAGCGATCTAACCTTAGCAATCTGGTCGAGTGCATATAGATATATTGAGAGAGAGAGAGAGAGAGAGAGAGAGAGTCTATCACTTTGGAGTAGTACGAGAGTTAGGTTTCAATAGATTATGAGAGATTGTGAGATCTATTGTGTAAAATTTTCCTCTTCCTAAACTCTGTATTTTTTAAATTGCTCATAGTGAACTTAGGCTAATTCTCAATACGAGAAGTGCCTCGCAGATTAGGGTATTTCACTTGAACTGCGTTACAATTTCCTGGTGTTACAAACGTACATTTCAACATTACTGTGTGTGTGTGTTGCTCCTTATAATTTTTCAATTGGTATCAGAGCAGGCTGCTAAAACTACTAGCAGGATCCTACACCACCCAAAGGAACAACACAATGGATTTTCCCAGAGAAGGTTTGTCATGCAGCAGACTCGCAGCTTTAAACAGTGCAAATTATTTCTATTGGAAGGCTAGAATGAGAGTCTATATTATGTCCCAAGGTGAGAGAGTATGGAGATCAGTAGAAGAAGGGTGGGTGCCACCTACCAATGAACGAGGAGAAAAGAAACTTAAAAGGGAATGGTCTGAAGAAGAAATCAAAGAAGCTGACTACAATTCAAAAGCCATGAACTCTATTTATGGAGCAGTCAGTGAAGAAACATTCAAACTGATATCAAACACTGAAATAGCCAAAGAAGCCTGGGCAATCTTATGCAATCATCACGAAGGCAACACCATTGTCAAACAATCAAAACTACAGATGATTCAAACTCAATTCGAAACCTTGAAAATGGAAGAAGACGAAAATATCACATAATTCAATGCAAAGATCCTTGACATGGCTGGAGCAGCATATAATCTAGGAGAACCTTTTCCCGAACCAAAATTGGTCAAGAAGGTACTCAGATCTTTACTTGAAAGATTCCTCATGAAAGTCACAGCCATACAAGAAAGCACAAACCTGGACACATACAAACTCAGTGATCTGATGGGAAACCTGCAAACATACGAACTTGAGATGCTTCAAAGAAAACTAAATGTGTCAAACAAAGGAATTGCACTACAAACTACACAAGCTACTGATTCAGATGATGACACACAGACCATGGAAGAAACCATTGCTCTACTCACCAAGAATTTCAATAAAGTGGTTAAAAAATTCAACAAGTTCAGAAATAAAAACAAGAACTTCGCAAACAACAATGGAAACAACTCAAACTCACAACCACGCACATCTGAAAACTAGAAAAAGGGAAAATCTTCTAAAAACATCGATGGGATACAGTGCTACGAATGTAAAGGATACGGACACATCCAATCAGAATGTGCAACATACCTGAAAAGAAAAAATAGAACCTATGTCACCACACTTAGTGATGACTCCGACAGTGAAAATGAAAATTCAAATTCCGTTGCATTCACCATTAGACAAGAAGAGGAAGACACTTCCCAAGAGGACATTCAAGGATTATTCGAAGCATACACATTGCTACAATCAAAATGGCAGGAGCTTATTAGAGTCAATACGAACTCATGCAAAAGAACTGTGATCTACAAATTGAAAAAGAAAGAGAAATTCGAGATCATCAGGAAACAAAAAAAGAACTAAAGAAACTTCAAGAAAAAGAAAAAGATCTTGTAGAGAAAGAAAAATTGCTGAGGGAAAACTCTCAGGGAATCGAACACACTGATGAAAGACAATCAGAAAATCCAGAGATGTTGCAACAACATTTCCAACATTGAAGAATCAGATGCTATTATTGCCACAAACCAGGTCATATTAAAGCACACTGCTGGATTAGACAAAATCGTCTTATGAGGAAACAATCACAAACCAGGAAGGTATGGGTCAGAAAAAATCAAACACAAACAGTTGCTCTCACCTCCAAAACAGAGAAGAATACAGAAATCTGGTACTTCGATAGTGGATGCTCACGCCACATGACTGGGAAACCAGAACATCTGATTAACATACTACCAAAAGAAGGAGGACATGTTACATTTGGAGATGGAGGAAGATGCCAAATTATTGGAAGCGGGACACTAAATGTGACCGGTTTACCAAGACTTACTCAAGTCTTCTTGGTAAAAGGACTTAAAGCAAACCTAATCAGCATTAGTCAACTATGTGATGGTAATCTACAAGTAAAATTCTCCAAAGACAGTTGCCAAGTCTATGATCAAAATGAACGATGTGTGATGCTAGGAAATAGATCATCAGACAAATGCTACGTCTGGACAAATCAATTTTCCTGTCATCTTTCCAAAGAAACTAAAACACAAATTTGGCATCAACGAATGGGACATATAAACTTCCATGACATGAAGAAAGGGATAAAACTAGGAGCATATCGAGGCTTACCACGACAACTCGAAATAAACGAGAACAAAACTTGTGGAACATGTCTTGAGAACAAACTAACAAGAAAAACCCACAAGAAGATATCAGGAATCCACACCACAAGAATTATGGAACTCCTGCACATGGATCTGTTTCGTCCAACTCAAGTTGAAAGCATAGGAGGAAAACGGTATGTTCATGTAACAGTAGATGATTACTCACGCTTTACATGGGTCATGTTCCTGAGAGAAAAGTCGGATACCTTCAAAAGTTTCAAAACTCTCATCAACAAGATTGAAACTGAAAAAGAAGGAAAAATAGGAAAAATCTTACGATTAAGAAGTGATCATGGAAGAGAATTCGAAAATTCGTACTTCAAAGATTTTTGCGAAGAAAAAGGAATACACCATGAATTTTTAGCTCCTAAAACACCGCAGCAAAATGGAATAGTGGAACGAAAAAATAGAACTATACAAGAAATGGCAAGGGTACTGCTAAATCACAAAAGAATTCCTCAAAAGTTTTGGGGCGAAGCTGTAAGTACAGCTTGTTATCTAATCAACCGAGTATATATACGGAAAGAGATAAACATGACGCCATACCAAATATGGAAAGTAAAAACTCCTAATCTAAAACACATACACATATTTGGCAGCACATGTTACATCCTAAGAGACCGAGAACATTTGGGGAAATTCGACATGATCAAGGATTCTTTTTGGGATACTCCACTAACAGCAGGGCGTTTCGAGTTTACAATCTCAGAACTCAAAGTGTAATGGAATCTATAAATGTGTCATTCACTGACATAGATTCAACAGAAATCAAAGATGATGATGAGCAAACCATAAGTGTTGAAACTTTTCAGAAGTTTCAACACCACCTATAGAAACAGAACAGAACGATGACACTGGAAAACCAACAGATGGTGATGAAGAAAACATAGATGAAGCACCCATCAAACAGAACACTAAAATCCAGAAAAATCATCCTACAGAAAATATCATTGGAGACCTAAATCGGGGAATACGGACAAGAGGAAAGAAAAGAGATTACCTCAAAATGTTCGAAGGAGATTCTTGCTACACTTCAAAGATAGAACCAAAAACCATTGAGCAGGCCCTCCTTGACGAATATTGGAAACAAAATGGATATACAAAAAAAGAAAAAAAAAAAAAAAAAAAAAAAAAAAAAAAAAAAAAAAAAAAAAAAAAAAACAACCATGAACCCGTTTTCTATGACCCAAATTAACACACCCGGCTCCAGTTGAAATCCCTCACACAGATCGCTCATCTGCTCCACACACCACCATCCACGATCACCACCACTATCGCCATCCACGACCACCACCATTGTCGAACACCTTCTTCACCACTCACCAATCACAGAACCATGAAGAAAGCAAGAGCCTCCAAAATGCTGAAGGTGAAGAAATCATCTCGTCGGCCTCCACGACGAGGAACCCCCGTCATCAACAAGAATCTCCCACTCAATCATCCACAACACTCCGAAGATATAATCATGGATCCAATACCAATCACGCAAATACCATTCGAGGACATCTACCCACCACCAGGTAACCCATCTCTGCCCCTCGAATCATCCTTAACTGAGAACCCACAATTAGAGTCTCCCTCGGACCCAAATGCAGAAGAAGAACCTACTGGTTCAGAGGGTATCTTTGGGGAGTTAATAGTCGACCTAGACCAAATCACACACCAACAAGGTGAAGATTTATTGACACATGAAAAAACCCCTGCCAGTGAGGAAGAAATTAGAAAATCAGAGTCTAACCCAGAGATTAGGGTTACGAATTCAGACACAATTGACAGTTTTGAAAAGGAGCTAGATGAAATCCCTACCGAAGTAAGAATAGATGATCATGAAACAGCCCCAAATCTCACCCCAAGTAACCTAGATGACCAACCATCAAAAGGAGATAATCCTGATGAAATTCTAAGAAAAAGAAGAAGAGTGGATCCGTATGAAGGAGCTGACCCCAGAGCTAAAAGGCCATGTAATTTTCCAATCTCTGTGGGACCCCCAAGAAGGACCCCTAACATCCCACCTCCAAGAATGACAAGGACTGCCAAAAGAAAATAAAAAGAAACTGATGATGACTGGGAAAACAGTAAAGAAAACAAGAATGAAAGGTCTAAAAAGCCCTAGAAAAATGCCTCAAAAGACCAGGGCAAGTCACAAAGGAAATACACATCAAAGGAAAAGGGAAAACAAACAGCAGAGATTGATGTTGAAACCACACTTCCAACATCCGATCTGCTACCACCTCTCAACAACCAATTCCAAGATAAAGCCTCAAACAATCTGTGGCACAAAATCTCACTACGAAAAATCATCCATCAAAAATTGGTCAGTCTGGAGAATCTCAAAGATGGAGAACACATCATAGAATTCCTGATTCAAGGAAGATTACTAGACATAGTCACAAAGATTGAACCTTTTGAAGAAAAGATGATCCATGGATTCTATTGCAATCTCAAAGGAGAATCATCAGTCCCATCAAGCCCTTTGTATGGAAAAGTATATCTAAGAGAAAAATACTATGATTCTTCCCCCGATGTTATAAATGCCAGTTACAACACCCTTAAACAAGATGATCAGTTCAACCACAATGGGGACATCATAGCTCAGGAGATCACAGCTGGAAATGTAGTTCTTGAAAAGAAGAATATTAAAGCTGCCTGTTTGACAAGCAAATATGCCATTCTACAAAAAATATCTCTGTCAAACTGGATGCCCTCCTTACATGAAAACACTGTGAAATGGAGCTTGGCAGAATTGTTATACAAAGTAGGGAAAAAGGTCAAAATCAACTATGGAGAACTGGTTCATCAACAAGTCATAAACCTAGCTGAAAACAAATCTCCCAAGGCCTCTCTAATCTTTCCAAACCTAATTCAAACCATCCTCACCAGACAAGGTCTAAAGACTACCAAGAAAAAGCTCCAACCAATCAAAGCTCTGAATGTGTCTGTTAAACTGAAAAAGGGATCTCATCAAAATGACCTGAGAACCACAAATCCAGAAGATGACCCCATGAACAATGAAATCCTTCGAAAATACTTCCAGAAAAGACTCAATGAACTGAACACATCTGAAAAGAATATAAAACAGAGACAATTGAAAATCCAGGAAGAAAAAGTTGAAGTACTCAAATGGCTGACAGCCTTAGGAGGAAATAATGAAGAAGAATCTGATCGGGAGGCTAAAAAATCTCAAGGAGTAGATGCTGATGAAGAAAAATCTGAAGGGGAGATTGAAAAGTCCCAAGAAGAAGATGCTGATGCAGAAGATCAAGAAGAAGAGAGTCAAGGAGAAGAACAGGGTATTGAAACCCCATAAAATTTGTCATATGTTTTTGTCAAAAACAGGGGGAGATATATATCATGACTGCTGATCTGCTGATATGTTGCTGCTGATATTGATCTGCTGATATGCTGCTACTGATATTTTGATACTTTGCTGCTGCTGATATGATATTTTGTTACTGATGCATGTTCTTTTTTTGAATTCTGTCTAGCTATTTTTGACTAGCTATTTTTTATGCTAATGCTACTGAGATATTCTCTTTTGAATTCTGTCCAGCTGCTAAGTGGGATATGTTCCTTTTAAGATCAAACAGAATATTTTTTTTTTGTTCTGTCTAGCTACTAAGCAGCATGCTGATGTGACTATGTTCATTATTTGAAGTTCTGCCTAGGCTACTAATCTTTGGACTGTCTAGCTTAGAGTCTTGACTCTATCACCAGTTACTTCAAACCAAAACTGACACCTGAAGTTTGTGAAAAGCAGACAACTAGACAACAAGAACTAAGGGGGAGAAATTTCAAGAAAATCATGAATCAATGTTTTTGCCAAAAATATTGACAAAGGGGGAGATTGTTGAATAAAGTCTTGTCAAGAATATTATTGGCAAAAGGATAATTGAAGATAAAGTTCAATTATCTCCTAGTCAAACTACAAGTATCATTCAAATCCTAATCTAATTAGTATTCATACTTCAACCAGGATTATGATCAAGAGAACACCTATTTAAAAAGACTCTTAGAAGAAGACCAGCAGCGATATAACGTTAGCAATCTGGTCGAGTGCATATAGATATATTGAGAGAGAGAGTCTATCACTTTGGAGTAGTACGAGAGTTAGGTTTCAATAGATTATGAGAGATTGTGAGATCTATTGTGTAAAGTTTTCCTCTTCCTAAACTCTGTATTTTTGAAATTGCTCATAGTGAATTTAGGCTAATTCTCAATACGAGAAGTGCCTCGCAGATTAGGGTATTTCGCCCGAACTGCGTTACAATTTTCTGGTGTTACAAACGTACGTTTCAACATTACTGTGTGTGTGTTGCTCCTTATAATTTTTCAAAGGAGAACATAACCGAATAATGTGAGGCAATATGAAACATCAGAGATAAGAACAAAAGGTTCAGGGTGTGCAAACAACTCTCAAGCTGACCAAGGATTAGACTGTCATTTGGAACCTCTCTGCCAAGGTAACTCACTTCTTGCTTCATCTTGAACGATGATACACGGGGAATCGAGAAAAGCCAATAGAATATGCAATTAAATACCATGAGATAATAAGCCGCATTGATCATACCAATTGTGGAGACTGTTGCCGACGTGAAAATGGTCGAAGCTATTACCGGAATGCAGGCAAACAAAAGCCGCTCAAGAGCAATCACAATGGAAGGATTTTCTATTTGAATCCACTTGAATTGCAGCGAAGCCCAAACTCCAATCAGGAAATTGACTAGAGCACAAATCGAGGTGGTGAGAAGGCCGAGAGCAATGGAATTGAAGGTGACAATGAGGAGCTGAAGAAGAAAGCATTCTGACCGGAGTAACGCAAAGATGGAATAAAGAGATGGAGGTATAATGAAATGACGCAAATACCCTCTTATCAAACTATCATTTAACGGAAATGCAGACGGAGGACCAAAATTGTCCTCGTCACAATAAGTGTGTTCATAAATTGTCTAAATTTTTTATGAACGACTAAAGTTGTCCGTACCACTATAAGTCTAGGACCAAAAATGTCTTTTACTCTTTCAATTATTTATATAAGAAATATCTATAAATTAATACATTATATAACTTCATTGCATAACTCTTTAATTACTTTTCGCTAAGATTAGCAAGCTAGCTCATTATAGACTTGTCATTTTCAACAAAAAATGAGTTAACTTTACCGACTCTTCAATGGTCAAAATCATTTTAAAAATACTTAATTTATTTTAAAATGAAATTGTTAGTACATGATTTTTTTTCTATCCTAATTATCTATAATTAAGACAAGTTGAAAATACTCATTCGATCATATTAAAAACTAACAATCAATTTTATTTTACATTGAATAACTTACACATTTAAAAATTATATTAATTATCTACTTATTTTAATTTTTCATATTGGACATTAGTTTAGTAATGCACATATTATAACTAGTAATTTTATAAGAACGAGAGATTCTCTTGTGATAGATTTCGTGTATACGTAGAGTGCATGTGGATTTGCTTGCCATATGAATTTTTTGTTGCTTTATTAGCTTAGGTTGTATTCCTCCCTTTCATATTATTTTTCAATAGGTTCTGGCTTAATCATAATTCATAAGAGAGCACAATTATTTTTCCTGGTATTCCCCCTTGGCTTTATTTTGTGTGGCTTTCCTGTTGCTTCTTATGCTTCTTTATGTCACAACTTTTAGTTTAGTGTCTTTTAACTTTATACACGGGCGCTTTAATATCTGATTTTTTTTAATGCATCAGATTGACTCTCATAGATTTATGTGTAGGATGGTTCTCATAAGAACATCACACACACACACACACATATGTCGGTAATTTATTGTTTCTTGAGAAATTAACGCTTCAATAACGATCCTAACACCATCGAGATAAAGCGAATCAATTTTAAGAAAAATGTGTATTACATACGTTTTAAATATTTCATATTATTATCGCGACTGAAATTTGAAAATATTATTTCAATTTATTAATTCCATCTATCACCTTACACTTAACAGAATATGTACAAAGATCTATCACAAGTAAATGAATATCCAATTCATTTTCATGCTTCATTTGTTGTTCCATTGTCTTATCAAAAGTCTGTTCTGCTTTGACCACGTTGTCTGAGAGAGACATCAGACATGCTTCATCTCCGATTGTCAGCAACCAATGCCAATCATTTAAAAAGGACTTCAATTCCTTGAGAAATTCTATTCATACCACCTATTTTACTATTTGCACCACCTATTTAATAGGTCAAATCACTTTATAGGTGGTGCTAATTAAAAAATGCTATTTGAAGCACCATCATTTAATGTGGTCAAAAACTAATATTTATTTTATATTTTTTTTTACAATCAAATTATTAATTAAAAAAAAAAAAAAAACCATCACCTTCTCCAGTGAGAAGGCAGCCCAGTGGGTTGGCTGCCTTCTCACCGGAGAAGGCTACCTGGGTCGCCTTCTGCGGTGAGAAGGCAACCCAGTTGCCTTCTCCGGTGAGAAGTCATGTCCATCGCCTTCCCACCGGAAAAGGCGATAGGTTTTTTTTTTAATGAATTAAATTTTGAATTAATTAATTATTACTTAAATCTAATAAATGCAGTTTGACTAGGTGGTACAAATAGCATTTTTACCACCCATTAGGCTATATGCATCATCTATGTATTTATTATAAATTATCACATTTTTATACTTTCAATGCACTTTATACCCCATTTTGGTCAAAGGGTGGTGCAAATAGCAACACCCTTTTGAATTACCTCACTTTAAGTGCATATATCTGACAGTGAAAAACAAGCCATCACCTAGACAGTCGAGATGAGAGATCTGTTTGGTGGCCTAGGGAAGCTGAGTGGGCTCTTACTCAGAATATGGGTAAAAGAGGCAAACATGGGGTAAAAGAACAAGAAGTTGAAATTATCGCTTAACATGTCAATGTCTTAGAATTTCAACCTATGAATGTCTAGATCAAGTGATTCTTGCACCACGGGAAAGAAAACTAAAAGGGCTACAATTTTCAGACCATCAAGCCAAATTAAGATGTTAAAATGGTCAAAAACAGCTAGGAGGTGGTTATGTCAACTTTGCACGGGCATCGCACGAGCACTGCACGAGCGTCGCACGGGCGCTGCACGAGCATCGTAACTGGTTATGTCTTTCTATGTTTGTTCTATTGCTAGTAATTTTCTTGCTATTATGAACATGTTAGGATTATGTTGTGTTATTTATATTAGTCGGTTGTGTGCAATAGAAAAATTGAAAATAGCTACTTTTGCAAACTAAGTATTTTTTTTCATTTATGCTGAACTGACAAAGGATACTGCACAAGCTGCAAAATAAAAGAATTAAATAGCCTAAGGGCTTTCTTATAAATACACTCCTAGTGTCTGTTATAACTGCCTTGATAGTGTATATAGCAGGAGAAGTCAAAGTCTGTAAACTGATTTTCTTTTTCCCAATAGTTCCCTTTCTTTCACTTTTAGCTTTCTGCTCCTCTTTGGCATTTCAACAAACATGTGCTGAGCTTTCATCATAAACAAACAACATAACCACTATAAAAATAATATAAATAAATCTAAAAACTGCATCTAATATCAAAGTGAAAATACCAAGTCCCAAAGAAAAACACAAGCGCACACACAAATTGTTTAATATCCATTTTTCAGAATAAATTATTTTTATAAAATAAATAATAAACAAAGTTCACATATACAAATGGACCACAGTTCACATGTCCAATATTTTATAGTTCTTCCTCTACCATGACACTTCTGTGGTCCACTATACATGGTCCAAAACAATTATATTTGTCTAAAATTAGGCAAATTATGCTATGGACCCGTGTCCACCATGTGCATGGTGGACACGTTGTACATTCAAAATCTCTATACTGTTGATTAATAATTTCTAAATTGTAGATCCATAATTGCTATACTGTAAATTTATAAAATCTATACTGTAGATTCATAATTTTTGTACTACACATTCATAATTTCTGTACTATATGAATCTACATTATAAATTTTATGAATCTACAGTATAGAAATTATGAATCTACAATACAGAAATTATGAATGTACAATATAGAAATTATGAATCTACAGTACAGAAATTATGAATGTGCAGTATAGAAACTATGAATCTACATTATAAATTTTATGAATCTATAGTATAGAAATTATGAATGTACAGCTTGTCCACCATGCACATAGTGGACACGGGTCCACAGCATAATGCGCCCTAATATATATAGACGTAGTAAACTGTGAAATTTTTGTATAATGTATAATAATGAAGGAAAGTAGGAAACTGAGGCATTAATGGTCCAAAAAAAATTGGCTTTTATTCACTATTGGTGTTAAATAGGCTGGATGATCTGGTCCTTCATTTGTTAAATTTTTTTTTAGATTAGGTCGGGCCGATCCAAAAAAATAAAATTAAAAATTATATAACAACTCATTTAAGTTATGTTTTTTTGTTAATGACCTTGTGATCTAGTAGCATGAAATGACTCTTTTAAATAGGAGGTCATAATTTTGAGACCCAATGAAGACGGTATTGACTCTTTATGTTTTTCAAGTAGACAGCTACTTTTTTGAGTTAGTAATACTCAAAAAGTTATGTTTTCTTTTCTAAGGATCCGTTTGGAAAGCAGAAAAATGACTTCTGAAAAATAACTCATTTTCCGGAAAATATTTTCCTTTCTTGTGTTTGGTTACACAATGAAAAACTGTTTTTTTTTTTTTTTTTTTTTTTTTTTTTTGGTTCATTTTCCACAAAATGAATTGAAAAATGAATAGAATGGCACACCAGGGAGAATATTTATTTTTCAGGTGGGCCCTACTTTTCTTGCAAAAATAACTTCTCGGACAAGGAGTGATTTTCTTCTCTCTACTCTCACTCTCTCCTCCATATAGACTTAGCCTCCTCAAAATCACACCAAAATGCATTATATTGATGAGGATGCTCTTACTATGCATGGTAGTGCGATTGATCCATGTATTGGTGGTAACAAAGAATTAAAGAATATGTTATATACGTCAAATTGTTTAACAAATTAAAGCATATAGCATGCAAGGAGTATACGTCACCTTTACTTAATATTCAATTTTTTTTTTTTGGTAAACCACAATGTGGTTCGAGTCTTTCTCTCCGAGAGGGAATCGTCACTTGTGAAAATCGAATTCAGGTTACCCTAAAATTCTCCCCCACAAAAAAAAAAGCTCATTTGCCACTTGAGCTACCCTGTTGGGTTTACTTAATATTCATTAATCTTAACTTGGTTAAAGATATGTCTAGAGTTTAGAGATTGAGAACTAAGTTAAGATATGAGTCACTTGTTTAGGTCACAACATAAATCGAGAAATAATATACTTGGTGAATAGACTAAGCTCTTGGGGTATACTCCGTAGTATATTGCATTTAGATGGAGGAAAAAAGAAAAAGAAAAAAAGTAATAAATGAGAGTTGGCGACCACCTTCAACGCGCCCAAGACGCGTGTAGTACACACGCCCAATGGGCGCTGCTTGTGTGCTTAACATGCACCAATTGTCATTTTTTTTTCATTTTAATTACTTAGTGGAGTCCACAGTATGAAACAAAAACATATTACTCCTGCAAGAACCCAACATTCTCTCTCTCCTCCTTTTCTCACCTCCACATAGGACTCCAAACTTCAAAAATCTCCCCAAAAATCATCCTAAAATCTCTATTAGGGATGCTTGCCTAGTTGACATATATAGTCTACGAGATTGCACAATCATCAACATAACTAGGGCGTAACATCAAGGCCTATAAATTATCATTATACCTAGCCATCCATCCAACCAACCATTTTACCTTGATAATTTGCAATATCAGTATACACCCTTTATTATAAATAGGCAAATCACAATTTGATAAACTCCGCCTTGTGATTATATCTATCAAAGGACTACAAACAAATAAACCAGCCTAGACACCCGCGGATAGAGTGGGCAACTGAGAGTCGAACTTGTAACTTGTGGTTACCAAGTCAACAACATGATTAACTTAACTAAAATTGTCCTGATTTGAACAATTTTCTCCAATATATACAAGGGTGAATTAACAATTTGGTCCCTCAGTTTTTTGTGACTTGTCAATGTAGCCCCTCAATCGCGTATTCATCGATTTGGTCCCCGAAAATAATTATTTTTCGTCAATTTAGTCCCTATGGCCGTATTCCGTCAAGACTCAGGCAAGAGCTCCGATTTGCCCTGGGCATTTTGGTCTTTTCACGTCTTCTTCTTCATTAACTTTGACCAAGCTTCGCCGGAGAAGCTCAAGCTCGTCGGAGGGAACTCCATCTCTTCTCTGCTCGTCGAAATGAGCTCACCGCCGGAGAAGCTCAAAATCGTCCCCGTCATCCACCGACCTCATCCGCGCTCACTCTGGCAAAAAACGAGTGAAATTTACGTTTACAGACGACCCAACTTTGGCCCGGGATTTTTTGGAACCCCTTCTCCTACATCTCTGCCCTCACAAGCTCCGAGCACTGGCAACACACCATATGCAGATTGCATTGAGAAAAAGAAGCTTTGGCAACGATTAACTAAATTTGTTGTAGTGTGTCTGTATGCTGAAAGTATATGGAGAGAGGTAAAGGAGTCTGGCACTATTCCTAGTATTTTCTTTCCATCATCGACCACGTATCCAAAGCTTCATTTCCCCGCCTATGAAGGACATAACCAGCTAAGAAACTATTCCATGAACATAAATCACCGAATGACATAAACTCAAATGCCTTAACTGCATTTTCCAATTCACCACACTTGGCATACATGCTAATTACAGCATTCCCAACGACCACGTCAGACAGAAAACCATGTTTCAAGGCAAGGCAATATAATGGAGATTTTCCCCTAACTTAAGTAACCCTAAAGTTCCACAAACGCCAAGAACAGTAGCTGTTGCAACTTCATCCATGACTAGTAGTCCTTCTAACTGTGTTTCAAAAAATAGAGAAATTGCTTTTTCTGGCTGCCCGTTCTGAGCATATCCACGTAGCATAGATGTCAATGCAATCAATCTGCCATGGTCTAGTGGCATCCTCCCACACCAAGTGCACATGTCAAGCAATGCAGCCTCGATACAATCATTTGGCTCACAGCCATACTTGAGAATAAACCCGTGAATCTATTTACTCGACTTTCTTTCCATCAACAACCCACAGGCATTTGCAATACCAGTCAAGGTAAAATCAGAAAACTCTAGGCGAAAGTGAGCCTAACGGCGGCGTTCCAGTGCGTGCGGATGAGGTCGGTGGACGACAGGGACGATTAGTACGCGTACCAAGCGGCGGTGAATATAGGAGGTCAAGTTTTTGGTTCATCAAGCGACGTCGCCGACAGCAGCAGTATTGGTGGGCACATCGGGTTGTGGTCGACGGAGTTGTGCGATCGTCGGAGTTGAACGCTCGCGCGGAGGATATACGGCAGTGAGCTCATTTCGACGAGCGGAGAAGAGATGGAGCTCCCTCCAGCGAGCTTGAGCTTCTCCGGCGAAGCTTGGTCAGAGTTAATGAAGAAGAAGGCGTGAAAAGACTAAAATGCCCAGGGCAAATCGGAGCTCTCGCCTGAGTCTTGACGGAATACGGCCATAGGGACTAAATTGACGAAAAATAATTATTCTCGGGGACCAAATCGATGAATACGCGATTGAGGAACTACATTGACAAGTCGCTAATAACTGAGGGACCAAATCGTTGATTCACCTATATACAAAGCCACTTACTCATGTAAAATTACAAAAACAAATTTAAATTGTTCAATAATCAAAGGAATTAAATTAATAGTTCAATTTTCAATTAATTTATGAAACGTAATTCAACATCATTACCAACTAAAGACTTTATTTGTTAGAAGGTAAGCTGTGGTTGTAGGTTTGTCTTAACAAAATATTGTTAGCCACAATCATTGAATCTTATAACGGAATTTCATTTTATAATTGAAGCCTAATATTGAAAGTTGATCTTCTAGACTTCCTTCCTACAACCTTTGCCTAAAGTCTATTCTTCGTAACCTAAACTACACTTCTACGTACGCCGGTCTGTAGCCAAGCATCTGTGGACGAATGTCTATTAGTCGCTCAAATTTTTCATTCCTCGATTATTTTATATTTTAATTATTTATGTTTTTTTTTAATCATTTAAAAGAAGAAAAAATAGTATTATTCTTTTAATCTTTGACTTTGATTTACCAAAAAGTCAGTTCGCCTAAAAATTTGTTTCTTAATTGGTTTGATGCAGCTTATAGAGTATACCCACCGATGGATATCTAAGTAGGGTACTCAGTTAGGAACACCCCTCAATGCTCAACTTACTGTTTGACAACACTACCCGACAAGCATCGAATTTGTTGAACCCAACTGACCACCCAGCATAGGCGGTCGGGCTGGCGAGCCCGACTGGGTGCCACATCCAAAGGCGGTTAAGAGGAGATTTTTGAGGGATTTTCTCTGTCGGGCGCCACATCCAAAGGCAATTAAGAGGAGATTTTTGTGGGATTTTCTCTAGATTCTACGCGGGATTTCCATTTTCAATATTAAGAAAGAAGGGTGGCGGTTTGGGAATCTTTCTTAAGACCAAGTTTGTTAATTTCTTCTCTTTTCTTTTCAAGGCATTAAGTCTTGTATAAATACCACTTGGGGCACACTGTAACGGGTTCTGAATTGAATTCTCTGGCAATTACTCTGTTAATTCCATTTTATCCGGCTACCTGTTGCCGTAAAACCAACACCCACATTGATAGAACCGCATACCCCAAATACCGAATCTAAGTTCTCATCCTTTGTTGAGGTGAAACATCACAAAGAAAAATTTGTGTTGAGTATTTTCTAATTTTCCTAGCTATTTTCCTCTTGTTATTTTCAACAACTGTAAAACATTAGAATTAGTATGCAAAGCAAGAAGTTTCATTTCAAAGCTAAAAGGAAAAAGGAAAAAGAAAAAGAAAAAGTATCAGAAATGTGAAGTAAAATCTTGGTAAAATAATGTTCATGCATAGAAATACATGCTCATGAAAAAGTCTTAGGAAGCAAGCATTAAGAGAATTTTGGCAGTTTGATAGGGCAGTGGGTGAACTAAATCTGCCATTGAAGCTGACCTTCATGCTGAGTCAGAACCTAATCTGCCAACCTTCAAGTTAAACACTCTCATTTCCCCCACTATAAAAGAATGCCCTCAATTCTATTCTCTTCACAAGTAAAAAAAAAAAGAAAAAACATAAAGCATCTGCTGTTACCTGATAAGCCCTGAAGTCAAACATGGCAGCTCTCGGTAGCAGCAGCATTGATAAACCGTTTCGCTCTTTCTTGCTCCTTGGCCTTCTGGTGCTCTTTGCAAACGCGTTTTCTTTGGCAAATGCTAAAGTTCAGCAGCATCAGTTTGTTGTATGACACCGATTTTCATCATGCTTCTCCCTATTCCATTTCTTGATTTTTCTTTGGTTGTTATAGGCTTCGGGAACTGGAGGATACTGATGTGAGTTTGTTGTTGTGTGACAGATTCAAGCAACACCAGTGACGAGGCTGTGCAGTACCCGTAACACGATAACAGTGAACGGGCAGTTCCCTGGACCAACCTTGGAAGTGAACAATGGTGATACCTTAGAGATCAAGGTTATCAATAACGCACAATACAATGTCACCATTCACTGGTAGGTTTGTGAAACAAAGCATGCATGCAGTGTATTAGTAAATACATTCGCAAATAAAGAAAATGAGTTTATTGACTTCTTATATGTCCTTGTTATGCACCAAAACAGGCATGGTGTCCGGCAGATTAGAACAGCATGGGCAGATGGACCAGAGTTTATTACGCAGTGCCCAATTAAGCCAGGAGGGAGCTATACTTACAGATTTACAATCAACGGTCAGGAAGGAACGCTTTGGTGGCATGCCCACAGCTCATGGCTCAGGGCCACCGTTTACGGAGCTCTTATCATCCATCCAAGAGAAGGGGAATCCTACCCGTTCCCTAAGCCTACAAGAGAAACACCTGTTGTACTTGGTAATTTTCTTTCTTAACCAAAGGTTTCAACGTAAGACAAGACTGACAAACAGTTATTTGAGCATTCTTTGCTGCAATTTTAGGATATAGTTTGCCTTCAAACAAAGTTTCTGAAATAATCACTGAAAGTTTGACAATAATGATGATCAGGTGAGTGGTGGAATGCAAACCCCATTGATGTTATAAGGCAAGCTCAGAGAACTGGAGCCGCTCCAAATGTATCAGATGCATTCACTATCAATGGTCAACCTGGTGACCTGTACAAGTGCTCCAGCAAAGGTAAGAATTACGAGTACCTCGTTGGCTCTCTGCCTTGAAAACTTTCCATGAGAATTAAAACTAACACATGATAGCCCTGTATTGTATCATAAACAGTAATGATTCCAATAAAACGGCTAAAACTCTTAACAACTAGCAACATTTGCAGCCAAGGTAGTATGCATACCGATGCTAGATGCCAGAGTGGAACAACTTTTAAGAGGATTTTAGACCACTTATATATACCTCTGAGCTATTCTAGCATTGACCAAGCAGGAATTTTCATTCTTCAGAGATTGATTGCTTTAGTATGTTTTGATACAGAAACTGTAGTAGTCCAAGTGGACTCAGGCGAGACCAACCTCCTTAGAGTTATCAACGCTGCACTCAATCAACAGCTTTTCTTCTCGGTTGCCAACCACAAACTCACAGTAGTTGGAGCTGATGCCTCTTATGTGAAGCCCTTTACTACTTCAGTCATCATGCTTGGACCAGGCCAGACTACTGATGTCCTAATCACCGCCAATCAGCCACCGGCCCGTTACTACATGGCAGCACGAGCATATGCCAGTGCACAAGGTGCACCCTTTGATAACACTACAACCACAGCCATCCTACAGTACAAGGCTGCTTCTTCCTCCTCCAAGGGAGGTCAGACAACTCCGGTTCTCCCATCTCTACCAGCATACAATGACACAGCAACCGCCACAGCCTTCACAAAGAGTTTCAGAAGTCTAAGAAATGTTGAGGTGCCTACTGAAATTGACGAAAACCTGTTTATCACAGTTGGTCTAGGACTCAATAACTGTCCCAAGGGCGCAAGTTCCCAAAATTGTCAGGGACCAAATGGAACTCGGTTCACTGCCAGCATGAACAATGTGTCTTTTGTGCTCCCATCCAACTTTTCACTACTGCAGGCACATCACCAAGGTATCCCAGGAGTTTTTTCAACTGACTTTCCAGCCGCTCCACCAGTTAAGTTTGATTACACTGGTAATGTTAGCCGATCACTTTGGCAACCTGCTTCTGGAACAAAGGTGTACAGATTGAAATACGGGGCAAGAGTGCAGATAGTGCTGCAGGGAACAAGTATCTTCACAGCTGAAAACCACCCAATCCATCTTCATGGATATGATTTCTATATCCTTGCCGAGGGTTTTGGAAACTTCAATCCACAAAAAGATACAGCAAAGTTTAACCTAGTGAACCCACCTCTTAGAAACACAGCAAGTGTACCAGTCAATGGATGGACAGTCATCCGATTTGTCGCAGATAATCCAGGTGAGATTAACAATTTTGCCAATTCCTTTTCTTTCCCTTTTCAACTAATGGGTTGACATTTAAAACTAATAATTTTGCATAAAACAGGAGTTTGGATAATGCACTGTCACTTGGATGTCCACATTACATGGGGCTTGGCCACGGCTTTCATAGTGGAGAATGGAGTTACCGAATTGGAAGCATTGGAGGCTCCTCCTGCAGATTATCCAATCTGTTGAGAACACCAGCTGACACCATTCAACAACATCCAAGATCTCCATAAAAGAATTCAACTTTTCCCGCTTTAGCATCTAAATGTAGTCCTCAAATCTATTCCCTGCATTAGGGGCTAGTTACTTTCTAGCGCCCACCTTGTCATGCACTTATTTTATTGTATTTTGTTAGATAAAAGGTGGGGTAGTGCCAATCAAAGCACTGTCCATTTGAATTAGATCCCATTGTTGCAGAATTGTAACTCCTGTATTCTTTGTAGCATTATGAATTGAAGGTCTTAATTGTTTTGGTTTTTAACTATTTGCATTAAATTTACCTAATATTGGACTCTTAAAATACACTTGATGGTGACCTGAAACCAGAACCAATCAAGTTGCAGCAGCTAAATGCACTTTTGATCTTAACAGTTGAAGTGCAGAGAAAATTGAAGAAATATTTCAATAGGACACCGAGAAGTACAAAGTTAGATGAAACAAATTCCCAAAAAAAAAGGAGGAAGAGAAAAGAAATCCAGAAAGATTAAATAAAAACTTTTCTTGTTTTCCAAATAAAACGAAAATCAATTTACAGCCTTCGCATTTAGAAACTAGCAATAAACAAAATCCGCATTATGCAAACTAGGAAATGGGGATTGGGGTTTAATGATCAGCAAAAGATGTAGGATTCGTCGTACCTTTCGGTGTCTACTGGAGCTCAAAAAGAGAATTTGCCTTGATATTCTTCCAAAACAACTCAATTGAAGCCTTAGCTTAGGCTAGGGTTTGAATTTAAGAAAATGTAGTTAATTTAGAGGGTCAATTTGGTTATATCTGAATGCCCGAATGGTTTCCCGCTAAAACTTGACCCGACTTTAATTCCCGGGACACTATTGTAGCCTCTAGGTAAGCCTTTTCAAGTTGGCCAATAAAGTCAATCTGGCAATTTATATCACGGATTGAGGTTTAAATAAGATTATGGAACTTGAATCGAAACGACACGAGATACAAAATTCATATTCGTAAGGTACAAAATTTAATAACACAAGACATAAAAAATTGCAACACAAGATACATACGCATGTTGACTCTGTTTGGCAAACCTAGCCGAAAAGCTATAAGCTAAGAGTTGAAAGCTGAAGAGCGGTTAAGCTAGCTGTTATGATTGAAAGTGTTTGGTAAAAATAGCTTTTTGATAAGTTGATAAATGTAAAAAGACTTAAAAGGACATCTTCATAAAATTTAAATTAGTTTGTTTACATATTAAAATTTAACATTTTTTGTCTTTAAAAAAATTAACATTTTGAAATAAAACTATTAGCATAATCATGATCTAGCATCTCATAATGAAGTAGCAATATTGTTGCAAATCTCACAATAATAATAATAATAATAATAATAATAATAATAATAATAATAATAATAATAATAATAATAATAATAATAATAATAATAATAATAATAATATTTGCGGTGAAAGTTGCGGATAAAGGAGAAGAGAAAATGATTTTAATTGGGAAGGGTAAATTATGTCATTTCTTTAAAATAATAAGGATAAAAATGGAAAAAAAGTTAGGAAGCTAGGAGCTTATTTTAAAACGCTACCTTCCAAAATAAGCTATTATTTTAAGCTAAGAGCTTATTTTGAGAACATTACCAAACAGAGCTTATAGCTTATTAGGAGTTTAAAATAAGCTATAAGCTCCTAAATAAGCTCTGTCAAACAGTGCCGTTATTTATTTATTATTTTTTTTAAATCTGATTTAGGTACATAATTTGTGTTCATATGCACAGAATTTTACAACACAAGATATGGAAATTTATAATATATGACACAATTACTAATTTATTTTAGATACAAAATTCATACTTTTAAAGTACAAAATTTTATAATACAAGACACAAAAACTCACAACATAAGACACAGACATGCATCATCGTCCATAATGCACTGTGAACGACCCTGGTCCATATTATAAGGATTGTACATGGCAATTTATTATGTGGACCATGGTCCACACACTGCTGTGTGAACCATTAAAAAAAGTACATTTTTAATATACTAAAAGTACAATATTTATGTACTGAATGTACATTATATAAAATAATGTACTTTTAGTATTCAAATAATAAATTTTCTCTAAATATAAGATATATTTTGATTTTAATAAACTAAAAGTACAATATTTGTGTATTGAATATATATTATGGAGAAAAGGGTAAAATAGGCCCCTAAACTTTACCTTAAAGGTCAATTAGGCCCCTAAATATTAAAAAAGTCAATTAAACACTCAAACATGTTAAATTGGGTCAATGAAGCCCAAAAACCGGTAAATGACTTGTTATTACAGATCATTTTTATTCCGGCCACCGGCGAAAATTTCCGGCCACCGGCGAGTTTTTCCGGGCGTTCGGTCGTCTTCCACTGGAGAATACGACCGGACGGGCGCCTTCTCAAGTGGAGAAGATGACCAGATCTGGTCGTCTTCTCCACTAGAGAAGGCGGCAGACGGCCGCCTGCCGCCTTCTCCATTGGAGAAGGCGGCCGTCCGGTCGTCTTCTCCGGTGGAAGACGACCGGACGGTCGGAAAAACTCGCCGGTCACCGGAAATTGCCGCCGGTGGCCGGAATTGGTCACCGGTGGCCGGAATTCGTCGCCGGAATAAAAATGACCTGTAATAACAGGTCATTTATCGATTTTTGGCTTCATTGACCCAATTTAACATGTTTGAGTGTTTAATTGACATTTTTTAATGTTTAGGGGCCTAATTGACCTTTAAGGTAAAGTTAGGGGTCTATTTGACCCTTTTCTCTATATTATGTAATTGTATACAAAATAATGTAGTTTTAGTATTTAAATAGCGTACTTTCAAATAATTTACTGTAGTACTTTGTATACAAATAATACAATGTACTTTTTGCCAATGACTTTGTGGTCTAATCGCATGAAGTGACTCTCCCATTAATAATACAAAGGCCCTGTTTGTTAAAATAGTTAGCTTATCAGTCAATTTTGGCTTATTTGACCAATTAATTGTTTGATTTGGTTAAAAAATTAATATAAGTGTTTGGTTAATTAGCTTTTTGTAACTCTAAAAGATGGTTAATTCGAAAAGTTGCTCAAAACAATTTTTTCAATTAGCTTTATGAGAAAAGAAATTATACCAAATAGCTATCAGCTAATGATATTTGGAAGGCTTGAAAGAAACTGCTTAGCTAACATATGAGACGCCTTATTTTAAGATCGCATTGAAAACGTTAAATTAACATGAGCACATACCCATTAAATTTTTAATATCAACTAACACTAAAGAGAGTCAATCTCAATGATGACTTTGGCTCTGTTTGGTAAAATAGTTAGCTTATCAGCTAATTTTGACTTATTTGACTACTATTGAATATAATTTTGACTTATCAGCTAATTGTTTATAATCAGCTAAAAATTGAATATAAGTGTTTGATTAATTAGCTTTTTGTAACTTTAAAATGCTAAAATTCAAAAAGCTGCTCAAAGCAACTTTTCAATTATTAGCTTTTTGAGAAAAGAAATTATACCAAACAATTATCAAACTAACCGTTAATTTACCAAACACCTTTCTACAATCACCTAATATTATCAACTAGTTATATCTTCTAATTAACTCAATCAGCTAACAGTTAACAGCCATTATATTTACTGAACAGAGCCTTTGTCAAAATTATGGGATTTTAGCTTGCAATGCAACTAAGTGATTCCCTGGTTGCTACTGTCTCGTACTCCGATAGATTCCAGCAAGTCTTCGCATAATCACAGTACATTCAACAAAAATGTGGAAGATTGACTCTTTCCCATGCGAACATAGCATGCATCTATCATTGCAATTAACATGTTCCAGTGACAACGTAACAGTACAAATCGTTTGTTGGGAGACTATGATCTTTGTAATATAAGATGAAAGGGTAAGAAGTCACTTTGGAATATAATTAGACATATCTAGCCGGGATCGGAGCCAGTTATCCTCCAGACATGAACTTGATTACCATTTCCAATCCTTATCCTCTATTCGGAATGTTTGAGGATTAGTCTTGAAGAAAGCATAATTGTCATTTGGAAAAAAAAAAATAGGTGACTCAGAGGTGATGCGACTTTTCTAGCAACCGAGATGCCATGTAATTTGCCATCCCTCTCGGAATCTCGTATCAGTGCACTGAAACCGTGTGCCACAAGAATAAATAGGATCCGATATGATCCTCTTGTCTAAGACCCCTTCCCGGTTTGATAGGGCATATCTCCTCCCCATTGTTCAGCACAAAGTAATCCCCCGAGGAAACGCATTCCTTCACCAACGAAACCCAACGTCCTCAAAACCCACTCCAGTCTGTCGTACATACACTTTGCTCATATCAAGTTTTAATGCAGCGTACCCTTCCTTGCTTTGGGTTTTCATTTTTTTCAAATAATGTTGCATTTCAAATGCAATCCTACCAGGTACAAAGGCGCTCTGACTGTCATAGATAATACCATTCAGGAGGAATTTCAGTTTGTTTGCAAGCTAAGGGCCTTAGAGCATCCACACTTGTGCATATTATGGGGAGATTTCAGTATTAATTCTTCTCAATGGAGATAATAACAAATGTGGGGTGGGGATAATTGTGGAGATATTCATTCTGCAAATGAAGGGAGAATGGCAGAAAAAGAAGAAAGAGAAAGAAAAGAAAAAAGGGCTGCTGTGCGGGGCGCGTCAGGCGCGCCTGACAGGGTTTTTTTTTTTTTTTTTGTTTTTTTTTTCGTTTGTTTTTTAATTTTGGTTTTTTAATTTTTTTTTTCTCCCTTCCCCACATTCTCTCTCCTAATCACTCTTACATTATCCCCATATTCTTCCCAACTAATGTGGATGCTCTTAACAAGAATTTTATAAGCTACGGTGTACAAAACTATTGGTCGTCTAAGATCAACCAAAGTTTTTGAGTTTTGTTTCTTGAGAATTAGGACAATTTGGGTAGTGTTTATACCTTTAGACAATTTCCCTGATTCTAAAAACTCATTATAGTAGAGGGTTAAACTTTCTCCAAGGATATCCCAATAAGTTTGAAAAGATCCAAGATTAAAACTGTCAAATTCTGAACTTTTATCATGATTATCTAAAGACTGCCTTCCTAATTTCACAGCTAAAAAATTTCAATTCTATGCCGATATTACTTTATGCTCAATACAATTAAGAACTGGAATTTGGTCTCCAACATAGCTAGTAGAAATTTTAGTGAAATAGTTATAGGCCCGAACTACTTTCTGCACGCATTAGTTAGTCACATAAGAAGTCTCTAGTCTAAAAAAAAAACTTTTCGTATTTTCCCCCCTTTCCCCACTTTGATGAGAACTATTTTAAGTGGCAAATTATATTCAGCACCACCGCACATCAAAATGGCGTTATTTTGTTTAATGAAAAGAAGCGGTATCCGTTTTCCGTCAGTCCACACCATTCCGCAAAAAAGTAACTTTGTTATTCAATTTCATTTTGTATTCACTGCAGTTTCAGTTCAACACAACTACAATTTCATTTTGATATAACAACAGTTTCATTCGTTATTTATAGGCTCAAATATGTGAAAATGTTTTTAATTTTATTTTATATACACTATAGTTTATTAGAACAAAACTACATGATCATTTTGATATAATTACAGCTTCATTGTACAATATACACTCAAATATGTGAAATGTTATTCAGTTTCATTTTATATACACTGCAGTTTCATTTCACCACAACTACAGTATCATTTTGATATAACTGCAGTTTCATTTGATAATATAAAAATAATACGTGAGACAGTGTCGATTTAGATATACTGTAATGTCAGTTTAGATACACTATAGTGTCAATTGGTAATTAATATACAAAAAATGCACGCTTTGTTAATACTAATGGTGCGCCATTTCTTTACTAAAAGAAACGATGCCGTTTTGACCTTGGTACCACGATATAACGACCCATTTTAAGTTGTTCAAGAAAATCCATTCCAATCCAAAAGTGTTGCCTTGTTTGGATAAGCTAGTCAAATGATGTAGTAAATTGACGTGTCCTTAAATCTTTGGGCCGACATTTAACAGAAGTTTATCAGTAGTTAGTTCCGGCGGTCATCGGATAACTAACTTGGCTTGTGTGCTGTCTGTCTAACGTACGAGCTAAGAACTCACAAATTAATTTAATGTCACCCCAAACATCTCGGCCCAAGTGAGAGCATTTGCCGTGAATGGTCCTGCCACGTATGCGTCCACGTGTTCACATAGGGGAAGTCGTCATCAGCAACGCCTCTGCTTCACTATCTACATTTTACGATAAACACTCGTCATTTAGTGATTCATGCAAACAAGACACGTGGCTTACATGCAGCCCGGATGGATTTGCAGTTGTGGTCCCACTTATTCCTTCCTTCTTTTTTTTATTCCATACTCAATCATCTTTATTTTATAATAGAGTTTTATCGAGATCCGTACGTTTTTAATTCAATGGTTCAGTAAATAGTGTTTAAAAGAAGAAATTGATATTTGAACTTTGATAACAATAATATGAAGATTATGTTTAAAGTAGACAAATATCTTGTACATACAACATTTAATTATGTTTTATATTTTTCCAAATATTCTGTCGAGTAGAGGTATGAGAGTCGTTGTCTATATGAAACAGCTAAGCAAATGAGTAAAAATTAAAAATATAATCTGAGAGTCTAAATAATTTTTTTTAATAATATAATCAGTACAATATTGTTGGACTAACTAGTTAAATAATTAATTTAATAACTATATTATTTTACGTTCAACTCTCTATGGAAGTTTCTGTAAGCAACATATTTTTCACAAATAGTACACTTTTTTTCATAAATTACAAATTTATAATATAATAATAAATTAAAAATATTATCATTTTTATTCAAAATAATCGATATTTTATTAGAATAATGAAACACATTTATTCCTTTTAATTTTTTTTTTCTTCTAATTTTCATCGTAACTAACATAGCGCTATATATGATTAGATTCTTTTGTATTTTATTATAAGTAGGTAGAAAAAACTTAAGAGGAATAAAAAATTTTCATTTTACAATTTAATATTATAAATTTTAATAATAATAATAATAATAATAATAATAATAATAATTATAATTATTATTATTATTATTATTATTATTATTATTATTATTATTATTACATATAATAGGCATGAGTTTTATACATGTATATAATAAAAATAATGAAGGATAAATTAGTCATTATAACAACCAAAGTAAACTATTTTTAAAAATTCAAGAATAACTAACTTAATATTAATTTTGTTTGTGCAGGCTTAGATCATTAATTTAGTAAACAATATTTAGGAAAAGAAACCAATATTCGAATCTCGATAGCAATAGTGTGAGCGTTATGTCCAAAGTGATCAGATCCATTGTATACCGACATTTAGTCATGTTTACTAAATCATTAAGTCATAGTAATTTACCGTCTCTCAAATGTTCTGTCGGGCCGAAATGTAATAAAAAAGTAAGAATTGAGCAAATTGTTGTGTGCACCATAAATATCAGGTACATTTTTAATATATTAAAAGTATATTATTTTTGTATTGAAGATACATTATTTTTATACAAAAAGTACATTATATAAAATAATGTACCCTTAGTATATTAAAAATATACTTTCAAAAAACATTACGTATAATAATAATGTAATCTTAATATATTAAAAATATATTTTTATTTATGACCATCATGGTCCATGTAATAATAATTTTAAAAATAATACTCGGTATCTTTTTTCATGACTTTTTTTATTTACCTCCAGGCCCTCCGTTAGATTAAAAAAAATAATAATAAATAAAAAAAAATAAAAAAATCTAGCTCCACTTAGATAGCTATAAATATCCCGTAGCAATCCAGGAAAAACGGATTTCAGTGTCTAAACGCTTTCCATAAACGCTAGTTCATTCGAACGTTAACGCGGTTTCCGTACTCAGCGCGGTTTTGGGGTTTTGGTTGCAAAGAGGAGAATCATCGATTCCGGTTTTGGGGTTTTGGTTGCAAAGAGGAGAATCATCGATTCCTGTTGGGGTTTTGGTTGCAAAAGGATAATCATCGGTTCCTGTCGCATGACTTCTGACCATAGTACTCAGAGGTACGATCTCTATTAGGATCTTGGGTTTTAATCGCTTTTGGAATATGAAATCATATTGGGAATTTATAATTGCTTCTTGATATTTTTTTTCTCTTTCTGTGGAGTATTATCCTTGTGGGTTTAGAGATATTGTCGATCTTATTTGCCGTTTTATGTTTGTCTTATTTTTCTTGGTTTAGGATTTAGGGTTTTAGAGGTTTTTGTAAGTAATGCTTTAGTTCTAGGTTGCAATTGATGAATTAGTACAACCTGATAGGAATGCTAAGATATAACCCGTTTGTTTGGATTTCATTCACTGAACAGAGGTCTGGTCCTGGGGATTTTCTTCCTTTATAATTGCTTCTTGATCTTCCTGATTTGAGGGAAGCTAAAGACTTTTGTCTCTATTTGATATCCTGTCTTTGGTGGGAAATTTTGTGCAAAATTCTTAGTTCATATTGCTAAGTTGTTACTTAAATCTTCACTCTCAGAGTCTCACCAATTCTTGTATATGATAGTAGTAAAACTGCACACTATTCAATGGCAATTTGGTAGTGAAAGAAGTTTACATATTGTGTTGTTAAGGAAAGCTAAAGACTTTTGTCTCTATTTGATATGATATCCTGTCTTGGGGGCAATTTTTTTACTTCTTGTTGCAAAGTTGTTACTTAATACCTAATTGGATGTTATGTTCCTTGCAGAGATCCAAAGATGGTGATTCTTGATGATCAAGCGTCGTCCAATGTGGGTTCTCTACCCTTGGATAAGAGGAAAACGAGGAAGAGAAAGGACGGGCCTAAGAATGTTGCTGAAACACTTGCGAAATGGAAGGAGTATAACAAAAAACTCGATTTTATGGAGGGAGGAGGGAAGCGTTTGCGCAAAGCTCCTGCGAAGGGATCAAAGAAAGGGTGCATGAAGGGCAAAGGCGGGCCAGAAAACGTACGGTGTAACTATAGAGGCGTCCGGCAGAGAACATGGGGGAAATGGGTAGCTGAGATTCGGGTGCCAAAACGAGGAAGCAGGCTTTGGTTGGGCACTTATGGCACCGCGATTGAAGCTGCACTAGCGTATGATGAAGCTGCTAGAGCAATGTATGGTCCTTGCGCCCGCCTAAACCTTCCAAATTACACCAAAACCGAATGCTCTTGCTTGCCTTCTGCATCGGCATCAGACTCCACCGTGGCTTCTAGCCTCTCCGAGATAGAAACCGCAGCTTCTTCCAACATAGAGCCACTCCACTCGGACAAAGGGGATGGAGGCAAGGCAAAAACCGAAGAACCATTTGATCTTACTGCAAATCTAGATGACTTCTCTTGGGATGAAATGTTCAATGTGGATGACATCTTAGGCGTTTTGAACACTCCCCTCAATGTCCCCGGTGATACACCGGGCTCGGGCACTAGATCACTGGAAGATCTGAGCTTTCTGAACCAAGAAAGGGAAGACGATTCGCGCTTCGACTTGGATGGTGTTGGGTTTCTTGACTTCAATTCAGAACTGGGCATTTGGTGAGAAAGGAATTGAAGCTTGTAAGATATGAATTGAAGAAGAGCCTGTAAGAATCTCATGGAGTGTAAAATAGTGCTGTGATTATGATCCTCAGATCTTGATTTGGAGCTGTGATTTCCTCTTAAATTTGCTATTTCTCTTAAGTTTTTGGAATGGGGAGATCGAATTGATTGTTAACTACACTACGTTGGTGATTCAAATTCTTTGTGTATAATACTAATGACTCTAACCCGATTTATTTGCATTCTTGAAATACTTTCTCACTTTTAGAAATGGATTTTATTTTTATATATCATATCTATAATATATGGACTATGGAGTAATACTATAAATAACATTTATATTTTAGAAAATATTGAGCCCGGAGGGTGGTGATGTCGAATTTACAATCATTGCACATTTTGTAATCCTTGTAATACATTGTAGATTAAAAAAAAAAAAAGAATAACGTGAAAATAGAAATACATTTTCACAAAAACAATATTATATTATATAATAAACAAGAATAGTACTGCAGATATATGAAATATGAAAATAATGTCCTAGACACAATAATGATTAGGTCAGTTTAGAGGCAATTGTTATGCCATGGACTCGGGTCCACTTACACCTTGTAAGGTGAACTCACGTTCAAAACGCGCGTTGAAATAACGGTGTTATTAGCAACATCATTTCCTCAGTCAATATATATATATATATATATATATATATATATATATATATATATATATTTGAATATAGAGTTCAAAAATTGTGAATATAGAGTTTAAAAATTGTGAATATTGAGTTCTGTAATTTTGTATAGAGTTAATTTCATTTTTGGTCCTAGATTTATAGGTGAACGTTCACTTTTAGTCATTTTTTAAATTTATTTATCAAAACATCTTATTTTGGTCCTAGTATTATTGTGGCATGACCAATTTTGGTTCTCTATCAACAAAATTGTTGATATTTCGTTAAATATAAGGACATTTTGATCTTTTTAATGCAAAGTGTGTTGACTAATGTATCTTATGTTTATTTTTTGAAAAAAATCATAATTGAAGAGCGAAATGCTCTTGTATTTAATGCAATTTCAATGATTTTTTTGATAAAAAAACCAAAATTGGTCATGTTACAATAATACTAGGATCAAAAAGGGATGTTATGATAAAAAAGGAATAAAAGTGGTCTGCCACTTATAAATTTAGGACCAAAAGTGGAATTCTTTTGTATATTATATGTAGAGTTCTAAAATTGTGAATATATGTAGAGTTCTAAAATTGTGAATATAGAGTTCAAAAATTATGAATATAGAGGAACAAATTGTGAAGACAAACAACAAATTAACGACAATGAAAGAATTATTTAAAAAAAAAAAATTCAAACGGCGTTGTTTTGAAGCAAAACGACGCTGTTTTGGAGCTGAGTCCTCCTTGCAAGGTGGATTTGGGTCCACAACATAATTTGCCGTTTAGAGGACGACAAATTATTGTGTGGACCATGGTCCACACAATTGTGTGGAACATGAATATTAGATACATTTTTAATATATTAAAAATACATTATTTTTGTACTGAAGATATATTATTTTTGTACTAAAGGTACATATATAAAATAATGTACCTTTAGTATATTAAAAATGTACTTTAAAAAAATGTACCTCACGTACATAAATAATGTACCCTTAGTATATTAAAAATGTATTTTTTATTTATGGTACATACAATTATGTGGACCATAGTCTATGTAATAATGATTGTTAGAGGACTAGTTTAAACTGAAAACGACAATAAATCACTTTTATTGAGAGAAAAAAGTTGAAATTTGATAGTTACTAAATTAATAATTTGGAATTGCCTTTTTATATATTCAATATGTGCCTCCCGGAGCGAACTGGGTGGACTGGACCGTTAAACGGACAGAGAAAGATTCGTTCCACAATGTGTGGTTGACACCAAAAAAAAAAAATGTTTAGTCTGGTATATGTATAGAGAATTAAATTGATGTACTGATTAATGACTTTTAGCCCCGTGGTCCAGCTTGGGCTTCATGTTTACCAGTCCCCATTAGAAATTTGCAACCCTTACTTTTTGACAAATAGTTATGCTGTGCAAGCGTGGGTTGCAAAACGACGTCATTTTGACTAAAAACGCGTGTCTCGTTTTTTTAAAAAAAGAAATCAGTTTCCATTCTCTTCAATAGTATTATTGTGGATATATAGTTATGAATTTGTGGATATATAGTTATGTATTTATAGATATTTAGTTCATTCATTGTGGATATTTAGTTCATTCATTATGAATATTTAGTTCATTCATTGTGGATATTTAGTTCATTCATTCTAGATTTTGTGTTATTCATTCACTGTGGATATATAGTTATGAATTTGTGGATATATAGTTATAAATTTGTGGCTATATAATTCAAATTATGCACACAAAAAAATGCTATTGCCGGGAATCAAATCTAAATTATTATTTTTTAAAGTGGGACGCGTGTTTTTAGTTAAAACGACGTCGTTTTTGCACACGGTTGCACAACATAATTTGCGCTTTTTGACGACCTTGTTAGAGCAGCCATACCATGACTTTGTAGTAACTAGTTCTAGTTATATTTTCTTGAAAAAATGTACAAATAGGGCTTTGGTATTAATTGTGACACCCCGTAAATCTCAATAATATTCTGGAATTTATTCCAAGTCAAGAAATGTTTTACAAAAAAGTCCAAAAGTGACCTCAAGATACACAGGGCCATTTTGGCCTAACAACCTGTAAAGCTACAACTACTACTAACCATACTTTTTAAGCCAATTGGCCTTGACGCCAAGCTATCCTCACCCAACTCTATAGGCCCAATCTTCCTCCAAATATCTTTCCAATATTAGCCTCCCTATTCCTCATCAGTCCATCCTCATAACCTTCTTAAGCTGCTGTCCATCCTGCATTAGTTTAACCTGCCCTTCTTTGATGCCATTGGTCCCATGTATCCTCCTTTCCTTTATTCAAACCTGTTATGCATGCATAAGAAGGCCAAAACCAATGTCTAAAGCTATTTCACCCCAATTGAACCCTAAGCCCCCACCCCAAGAGTGCAAGGTCAACCTCCCCGCACAGAAATCTGTATTTTAACCGGGCGGCCACTTATGCCCTCACTCAAGGCAATGAGACCCATTCTTAGCCCACAAGATGGCACCCTTTACTAGTACAAAGCACTTGCATAAAGGGACCATTAGATAGCCTAGAGCCTCTACCCTTAAAGTGTGGGCCAACTCAACCCCGTACAGAGCTCTGCATTTTTACCGGGGCAAGTCTATGCGACCCAACACCGTAAGCAATAAAGGAGCTCCACCATACAAATCCCTTTCCTTATAGCCAACTTCTATCTTTTTTTTCTTTTCTGCTGTTTTATTTTCCATTCTTTCTAACTTCTTTCTTCCCCCTTTGTTGTTTTTTCTTTTCTTTTTTTTTTTTTTTCCCAGATTTTCATCCCTTTTAATTCTCTTTTCTTTTTTCTTTCAACCCCAAACCTCCAAGCAAACCCAGCCCTCAATCAAGGATCATAGCTTAGACATTGGGTGGTCTTCTTATTTAGCACAGAACCACCATCAAGTTCAAACCCCATGGGACATAGCTCAGTACTCTTAGCTCACAAGATGGCACCCCCTATTGGTATCACAATACTTGCATAAGGGGGCCATTTCACCTCATGAACTAAGCAATACTGTACAGGATAAACCAATGCAAACAGACCTGCAAGCCAAGAGAACCACCCACAGCCACTAACCAAGTGGGAAAGCTATACTTACAGAGCATACTTACAAATAGGCAATTGAACTATTTGGAGGAATATTATGCTGTGCAACCGTGTGCACGGTTCCAATTCATAATTTCTATAGTGTAGATTTATAATTTCTATACTGTAGATTCATAAAATCTATACTGTGGATTCATAATTTCTATACTGTAGATTCATAATTTCTAAATTGTATAGTTATCAAATTATGAACATATAGTTCTGTGCTTTGTGAATACAGAGTTCAACAATTGAGAATACGAACATCGAAAATTATGAACATATAGCTCTATAATTATGAACATATATTTATAAAATTATGAACATATAGCTCTATCACATGTTCACAAATTTAATACGTACTATAGATCCATAATTTCTATACTGTAGATTCATAATTTAAATACAGTAGATTCATAATTTCTAAACTGTGCGATTGCGAAGAGCGAATGGAATGTTTGAATGCAAAAGGAAACCGCCTAACGCCGTTAACCGCAATGAAAAAAGAATTTTTTTTTTTAAAATTTGGAACGGCATCGTTTTGCAACAGTGTGCACCATGCATTTTTCTTCTCCGGTTCTTCATTCGCGTATGCAACTATCGCTTCTCTATTTTACGTTTTTTTTCTCTCTTTCGCAGTTGTGTATCCTTGATTTTCTGTATGCATTTCAGGAAAGTCTGTAAATTATGTATTCTTGATTTAAAAATACCGCAAGCAATCGAAAAAGAGAGAAAAAGTACAAAATAGCAAAGCAATAGTTGCAGACACGAATAAGGAACTAGAGAAGAAAATAGATGAGGGAGGAAATTAAGGCGTCAAATGCTTACATGTAGTTCAAATAGGATAATAAGAAAAAAAATATAAATACACATGACATTTCAATAAGTGCAAACATGTTGTTAACCTGCTAAAAATGATAATTGCTATTTTTTTTTTTTTGAGTTCATGGATGAATTTGAAGCTTATTTGAGTTCGGTAGCTTATTATTAATTGCTATCTCCAAATAGCAATGTTGCAAAAATCGCACCTAGGCGCCATTGCGCCGCCGCGAGGAACGGCCTCCTCCGCGGCCGGCCGGCTAGGTGGCCGCCTAGACCGCCTAACCGGCCGGTTCGGCGGTTTTTTTTTTTTTTTTTTTTTTTTTTTTTTTTTTTTTTTTTTTTTTTTTTGAAAATGTCGGAAAAGTTTCGGAAGGCATAACTTTTGACTCGGTTGTCCGATTTGGACAATTTTTTTTTTTCAAATCACGTATTTTTTCGAGATCTATCCACCGCTTTGGTCCACTAATTTTTCAAAAAAATGCTTCTTTAGCTCTTAATTTTAGTTTTTTATGTATTTAGATGGTTTAAACAATCTTTTGAACACTTTTACAACCACTTTCGTAAATAATTTCTAAGAAATAACTATAGAAACCTTATGTTTTATTACTAAATTTTAAAATTTTTTAATTTTTAATTTTATTTTTAATTAAAAAAATTTAAAAAAATTAAAAAAAAAATTAAAAAATCGGCGCCTAGGGGGCGCCTAGCGTGTTTTGTAACATTGCCAAATAGTTCAATGACCTATTTGTACTCCCTATTTTCTTTCACTATAATAAAATTCAAATTAGATCAACTATTATATTTGATTAAAAGAATTAGTTAAAAGTGTACCAATATTTTTAGCAAATTATTTTGTGGACCCGAGCTCACCTTGCAATGTAGATCCGTGTCTAAAAATACACAATTTGCACACTAAATTTTCACAGATCAAATTGTGAACATTCAGTATGTAAATTGTGTATTTTGGACTCGGAGTCCACCTTGTAAGGTGGACCTGGGTTCATGTTATAATTGCTGATATTTTTTTATTGTGATACTAAACTGCCAATTTTCATAAAGTTGAATATAATTGATGGGTATATTGAAAATGATCCAAAAATAAAGACCAAGAGCCCATAACCTGGGCGGTCTAAGAAGGTGGCATGAGGCCCAAGATAAGCGATCTAGGCTCAAGGTTGGCGATCTGAAGCAAGAAGGTGACCTGATCGAATAGAAGAGCCGGCGGCCTTAGGTGAAAGACTAGGACTAGGCAATCCAGATCGAGAGACTTAGATGAGGCTACCTGAGTCGGGTGGTTGGACACGAGACCCAAGTCCGGGTCCGGGGCCTCTGCATATGCGACCGGCCCGTGGTGATCACTATTCCACCCTCGGAGCCTACCTTGCACGACTGGGCCCACCATATGGACTTTGACATGGTCCTGTGGTCCACCACGAAGTTAGCTAATTAAATTGGTTAAGACTTTCATGTATATATTGATATTGTTTTATTCTCCTACAACATCATGTCCTAAATTATTACAAAGTAATCGCATTCCTACAAATTAAACTTCTTGTAATATTTTAGCTCTAATTCATCATCCAATACTATTACAATTCTACTCAATTATTCAATCTCTATTGTAAGCCTTTTAAATGTGTGTACTTGCTGAGTAAGCCTTTTAAATGTGTGTACTTGCTGCCGACTGTGAAACCACTTGCATAGTTGCATGAATTAGTCTACGCTATGGCAATGAGCCATTGATGATAATAAATGCTCATTTAGTCATTTCCGTACCATTTTATTTTGAATGCTATGACTCTATTACATTGTAATATCTGTTCAAATATACTTTCTCAACCTGATGAAGCACACAGAGTCAACAACGTCTCGACTGAGGCTTAATCTCATGACCTTCCATGTGAGAGAGGTCACTACATGTCATCTGAGTACAAAGTGCTTGGCAGTCATTTCCGTACCTAAATTTATATAATTCTTTTTATATTATACCCAGCTAGAAAATTCATATTTCTTACTATAAAATGTTAAAAAAATTATTAATATGATTTATAAAATCATTACTGTAAATTCATAAAATTATTATATTGTAAGTTTATAAAATCACATCTGCAATTAAGTTTTTAAAATTATTATTGTAAACTTTATTACAGTTTCATAAATTCACTATTATAAATTCATAAAATCTATATTTTAGGTTCATAAAATTAAACTACAACAAAAAATTTTTAAACAATAATTAAAATGATACATCAATCTAAGTCAAATGAATCATGAATAACAACGGATGATCGGACCCTACACCCGTACGTTGGGGTAGTCTATGGAGTATGGATATGATGTGTCTTAAGACAATGCCAATATCTATAACTTCTGCTCAGTCACCCTCGCCATTAACCAAATAGTGCTATATATGAAACCATAATTTAACTAACTTGGCCGAATTGTTGATTTGATAATACTAATAATAAATAATTTTAGAATTAAATTTTATTTTTTTATCATAGATTTATAGGTCTCAATTTTGTGATAGGAATAAAAATCTAACTCCTGATATGCGGATAGAAGCTAGTCTTAATTAAGTCTAACTTTTCATTCACTAAATCAATATAGGCCGGTCCCCCCCGGAGGGCTTATAAATATATATGATCCTTTAATTATTAAATGAGTTGCGAATTCAATCTCTCGACTATTAAGACTTTAAAGAAGCTTTGATTGTATGTAGGGTTTTATGGTGATATATTTGTAACTATATATATATGAACTATATGTGTGTATGTAAATTCTTCAGCACTCACTACATCCAAATACAAAAAATGAGAAGGATGAGATTTTTTAACCATTACCAACCATTACTATCCGATGGTGTGTACTGACCTACTACTTGAACCAGCCGCTACTATCAAGGGTGTGGACAAAGTAAATCACCCTATACGAGATAGGTAAATCATACTAAGAAGATCTTATGTGACGAACTTGACTGAGAAGAGACGGGCAAGAATCAAAATATCAAATCATAACATTCAGGTAGGAAAATCATTATTTCACCCATGACACCCTTTTCAAGACAGGTTGTAATTTTAAAATCATAAGTAATTTCTTTTAAAATTGATGAGGCAATTATTCATTATTTTCCCATGAAATACTCTAAAAATTTATTCATGATAATTAACACAAAAATTGAGGCAATTAACAAGCATAGAATCATTACTGCGTGTGATTAGGGTGGCCTTCTAATGCACTCAACATGAACTAATAACCGTGACCAACAATGGACAATAATGCCCTTTTCATCTTCCCCACACGAAAACCCTTGGAGCACAGAGTCGAGGTCGGAGAAACGCCGCCGGCGACCGGATCACCGAACTCATCGAATCCTACATCCGACCTCGACCGCCGGTGCCACCGCCGCCGGTTCGTTAAAGCCACCGCGGAGGAAGACGAGAACGACGACGAACACGACGGGGAAGCGGAGGGAGACCAGAAAGAGTTAGGCGGAAAAACATCGCCGCCGCCGCCGGTTTTCTTGGAAGAACCCTTGTGAAAGAAGAAAGAGGGACACGAAAACCTCGGTTTCCTCGAGGGTTTCTGCACGGATTTCACGGCGGCGGACTGGTACGACGGTGGAGGAGTGAGCGGCGGCGCAGAACCGCCGTTAAACGACGGTTTAGGTGTTCCCGGCTGCGATTCCCAGCAGAACGGAATCGAACCAGAAGATCCTTCATAGTAGTAGAATCTCAAAGACGATTCGCCGCCTTTTGAACAATTTTCCTTCGTCAAAAGTCTCGAGAAAAACTTGTCGTCATCTTGCTTGATCAGCACAACTTCTGGATGGGTCGTACTACTGTTCACCATTTTTCTTCTTCTGCAGTTTTTCTTGGGATCTGCAGATTGAAGAAGAAGAATTGAAGAAGATGATGAAGATAGTAGGAGAAGGTGAAAAGGAAAGATGGATTTGAAGAGGTATAAATATGGGGGATTTTGGGTAAGTTTATTTAATTATTATGGTGACACCATGCATGGCTCAAGATTATTGACCATATATATCTTATATAAGTTATATATGTATATTATTGCTATATATAATACTAGTAAAAAGGTTTAGTTGAAACGGATCTTTAATTTAACTAACATTGATGTTATATATACAAGGAAAATGACATAATTAATATAATTGATCACTTGTATTCAAGGGGAATGACATAGGTCTTGTTTGGCAAGCTAGATTATGTATGCCATGGGACAATCCAGATTTGCTAATCACAAAGTTTCAATTTTAACTCGGGTGGAAATTATTTAATGACCTTATTGGTTTGAGTCGAGTATCTATGGGCAACTTAGGGCATCTTAAATACTGAGGTTTTTTGGGTGTTTTTTAGGTGCCAAATAAGAGAGGGAGGAGGGAAAGAGAAGGAAAAAAAAAAGAGTTAATTCCATTCTTGGTCCAGATTTATAGTTGACATTCCACTTTTAGTCCTTTTTTATTAAAACATCCCCATTTAGTCCTGGTATTATTGTGGCAGAGTAAATACCGGTGGATCGGAGGTCCTCTGACTTTGGTGGCACTGCCACTTTTAGTTCTCAACTTTTAAATCAACCACTTTTAGTCCTCTTACTTTTTGTTTCTAACCATCTATGATCCTTTCGTTAAACTTGACCATCTAATGCCGTTTTTTAAAAGATAATTCAGTCGTTTCATAATTAATTTATTAATTATTATGTTTAATTTCCTCATCGGAATAGTCAAACAATGGTTTCCCAGCTATGAACGTGTACAAAACCAACTCGTGAATCAAAATGGCGTACAAAAGCTGGTACGAAGGTTGTGCTAAAACGACGTCGGGATATCTCGGTATGACTCAGCAAACATAATAATTAATAAATTAATTATGAAAGGTCTGAATTATCTTGTAATACACGACATTAGATGATCAAGTTTAACGGAAGGACCATGGCTAGAAACAAAAAGTAAGAGGACTAAGAGTGGTTGATTTAAAAGTTGAGGACTAAAAGTGGCAGTGCCACCAAAGTCAAAGGACCTCCGCTGGTATTTACTCATTGTGGCATGACCATTTTTAGTCCTACGTCAACAAAATCGTTGAAATGTCGTTAAATACAAAGACATTTCGATCTTTTTTATACAAAGTAAGTTGAATCGCTATATTATTTATGTTTTTTTTTTTTTTTTTGAAAAAACTCATAATTGAAGACCGAAATACCCTTGTATTTAACGATATTTAAATTGTTTTGTTGACAAAGGACCAAAAATGGTCATGCCACAATAATACTAGAACGAAAAGTATATGTTCTAATAAAAAAGGAGTTAAAGTGGATTGTCACCTATAAATCTAGGACTAAAAATGGAATTAACTCAAAAAAAAAAAAAAAAAAAAAAAACAGGAGTCTGACGCAAAGAGAAAGAAAAAACAGAGGCAATGATGCGCCATTGTGCGCGAAACGCGCAGCTGTGCGACTGCACCTCCTCTTTCTCTGTGATGTGAGACCCACGAAAAACTCATCCCTTTCATGATGACCTCATATTTTCTCTCTCCTCCACATTATCTATGCTATTCTCAAAAATTGTGCAAAATGACTAACGAGGATGCTCTTAGAGCATCTACATCAGAGGAGAAATGGGGGAGAATTCACTACTTTTGAGGCCAAAATGCCATGGTGGCAGAGAGAGAATCAAGAGAGAGAAGGGGTGGGGAGCATCTGCAAATGTTGGGATATTACTCTGCCCAAGAAAAAAAATTAATGATGGAGGAAAGAGAACCAATAAAGAAATGACATGCTTATTTTTTATATATTTTTTTTTATAAAATCAGTTTTGATTTTTTTTTTTCCCCTCCCCTCCCACATTATTCTCTTTCCTACTCACTCTTACATTCTCCCCCTAATATCTCCAACTGATATGGATGCTCTTAGGCTTGTTTACCTTTTTATAGTTATTTGGCACAGAGTTTCACTGAGAGCGCACCAAAAAATTATGTTTGGTAAAATTAATTATTTGTTAAAAAATAGTTTAGATCCAAATTCCAAAAAAATAAATAAATAAATAAACTGTAAACCAAGAATTGACTTTTTTATTTTTCTAGTAATAAAAGTTTGATTCTCTTTATCTTTATATAAGGTTGGTCATGTTTAATAAAAATGAACGATATTAAGTAACATATATATGTTGAGATTACCAAGTAACATATATATAAATGATGTTGAGTGACATATATATGTTGAGATTACCAAGTAACATATATAAATGATGTTGAGTAACAAATATATGATATATATATATAAACAAGTGAAAAATAGGGAACATAACACGTAGTCGACTGGGAATTACCAACCAATTCAGATTAATTCATCCAAACTAACTCGTAGCTTATTAGGTATATAAAAATTATAAATTACTCCTTTCAAAAAAAAAATTGTTAAATTACTTGCGTTCAAAAAAAAATTATAAATTACTTACTCTATACTTTAACTAAACAAACTTTTATCATCTGAACCATAGTTCTAATTTGGGGTGGGATTTATTTGAATTATTATATGCATTGACCCTCAAAAGTTGAACAAAATTTTAGATTTTGGATTAACCCAATTAGTTATTTGTTAAATATTTTTTTTAGTAGGTTATAGGACAACTCAACTGGTCTAGTAAATGAAAGTACCGGCAGATATAGTTACGATTGACCTGACCAACCGACACAGCTGGGTGATTGTTTGGGGGAAACAATGATGCAGGATGTAAGAGTAGTTTAAGGCTTGTCTGACGCGCCACCTATCAGGACTTGTTAAGTAGCTAGGCTGAATGGCTATCGCTCTCCATCGATGGTAATGCGCCACATCGGACTAACTTGCCATTAGTCATCATATCAGTGGTATGGACCTCGAGTATAAATTGCATCCTTTTTGCTTGAGTCATGACATCACTTCTCATCACTTTTACTCGTTGTATTAAACTCTTATATATTTATATTATTGTGTCTATTCAAATAGCTCTAGACCGAACGATTGACTTGTACTCAATTTATCAATAGATTCTCATCTCCTAACTTCTTACATAGTAGATAACTCTAGATCTCTAGTAGTCTAATTCACACTATCAATTTTAATTATAGTATATTAAATATAAATTCAGTTTGGATATATGATTTTGTAAAATTTATCCATATGTGACTCAATTTAAATCCTGAAAATTTGAAGTATTTTTATGTGGACGTACTAAAAAAACATTTCACTAAAATAATTTAGATTTTAATTAAATCTATAAAAGGATCACTCAGAATTCTTAAATATTCAGAATAAATTTCGAATATCATCCACCTGACTCTCCCTAAATTTTCATATTCCACCTTTTCCATAAGTGAACAGACAAGAAATACTATGTATGTCAAGCTAATTAATGTTGCAATGTCTCAAATTAAATTTGTCATTGAAAAGGATGTTCATTTAACTTTGACGTCAATAATGTGATCATCAATAACTTAAAAAAAAAAAAATGACTGCAGTAGAAATGACACCAACAACATTTCAGTAAAAATAATTTCATTCCGCGAATTTTGAATCTAAATTTAATTTTTTTGAATGCTAATGGCTCTATTATAATGTAGTATCTGTTCATATACTTTTTCAATCTACTAAATTTAAATTTAATTTATAAATAAAACACTGAATAAAAAAAAAAACAAAAACTTAAAAAAAAAAAAAAAAAAAAAACTCATTAGTCATTCCAAATCAAATTCGATAGCATCTCGATTTTAAATTTATCGTAATTCGATGTATTACTTGGAAAGTCATAGCGGCATTTTTTTTACACGTAAAATGAGTAATAATATATTAAGTTTGTAGTTTCGAATTCATCCTTTTCCACAATTAATGAACACACATTTAAAAAATAAAAACATTATTAGCGGTTAAAAATACAAAAGATACAGATACAGTAGGCCGGGCGGCTCCTGTTTGGCAAATTATGCTGTTCGTCGTGGTGCACACGGATACAAAAACGACGTCGTTTTATTTAAATAAAAAAAATCATTTTTGATTGTCGTTAGTTACGTGAATATATGTTCATAATTTTATAATTTCACATTCTGAATTTATAGTTATGAAATTATGGATGTGTAGTTATGCAATCTGGATTTATAGTTATGAAATTATGGATGTGTAATTATGCATGCTGCAATTCTAAATGTATAGTTATGAAGTTATGGATGTGTAGTTATGCATGCAATTCTGAATGTATAGTTATGAAGTTATGGATGTGTAGTTATGCAATTCTGGATTTATAGTTATGAAGTTATGGATGTGTAGTTATGCAATTCTGAATGTATAGTTATGAAGTTATGGATGTGTAGTTATGCAATTCTGGATTTATAGTTATGAAGTTATGGATGTGTAGTTATGCAATTCTAAATTTATAGTTATGAAGTTATGGATGTGTAGTTATGCAATTTTGAATATATAGTTATGAAGATATGGATGTGTAGTTATGCAATTCTGATTTTTTTTTTTTTTTTTTTAAGTCGAACGACAAAACGGCGTCGTTTTTGCAACCGTGTGCGCAAAGATGACTTCCCTTGCGTTAGTGCGGTTAACACAAAAAAACGCACTTTAAGCATTAAAATGGCGCACCTTAAGTACACAAATCACGCATCTTAAGCACACAAACAAAACACCTTAATTAAGAACACAAAAAACGCACCTAAAGATTTAAAATGCCGCACCTTAAGTACACAAACCACACACTTTAAGCACACAAACAAAGCACCTTAAGAACACAAACCACGCACCTTAAGTTTCTACAATTGACGTACCTTAAAGCATACAAATCACGCACCTTAAGAATGAAAAAC